TCATTCCCACCATCTCGGACCTATGCAGAAGGCGGCATCCACTCGTTCCCTCCAGCTCGGGCCTACACATGTCGGCGGCCTGAGCCCGCTTCATTTACTCCTTCCTACCTGTTGGCGTCCATCCTCTCTCCCCACTCCCTCCCCATGGACCTGAAAGAGGTTCCATCGCCGTCCTCTCCCTCCCCATGGACCTACGTCCCATCACCTCTTCTCTCTTCAGCACAGACCTGTAGAAGGCGGTATAAGCCCACGCTTCCCTTCACGCACCTGTGGCCGGTGGCTGCGTCGGTCGCTGTACGTCCGGCAGGCCGATGCTGATCCGGTGCACGGCCAGCGACCTCACGTAGGCCACCGGCGGCCCGCTCGAGTAGCCGACGGCCGTGTGTAGCAGCAGGTCGCTGAAGGCCGCCGGCAGCTTGGTGGTGTGCACCGACAGTGACACGGACGGCGACTTGAGGCTCGTGTTCAGCACCGGGTCCTCCGTCTGTGGCGCGGGGAGGGCGGGTGGTCAGCGGGCGCGCAGATGTGGAGGGGAGTGGCTGACGGGCTGTGAGCCTGTGTGTGAGACGGAACAACGCCCAACGGGTGTTTGCTGGGAGACGGAGGCCGAGCTTGTAGGAGAGGAAGAAGGAAGACGTTGTTAGGGCTCACCTACGTAATCCGCGCGTGTGCTTGAGTTGCTTGAATGATCGAAAATAGCAGGTCAGGTGCACATTATAATAGTGCACACTGCACAGTGCACAGGCATGTTGTTTGACTAAGTTCCTTAAAGTGACCGGGACATGCATAGCGAAAGTTTATCAAATAATGTTACCCATCATTTAGAAAGGGCATCAAAGTTCCCACAAAGGTCTGACAACATTGGCAAATTGGACCACACCAACGGCCTCACTAAGGGTGCAAAATTCCGCTACGGGTCCAGAATTCCACTACGGGCGCAGAATTTCTGAGTACCGTCGCTACGGCCCGAACTACCGGCGATTGCCACTGGGTACGTCACTCAAAACGCGCCTTCCACCGCGCACCCACAGCGGCCCCCGGTCCCGGACTCGGCCGACCCAGTGGCCGCCCCTCCCCCGCCCCGCCCGCCTGCATTCCGGGCGGCGTCACGGCGCCCATCACGGCGCGGAAGCCGTCACGAATGGGCGCTAATCGCCGGCCCGCTGGGAAACCGGCATCTGTCAGGCAAGCGTGCATGTGAGAACGTGGCCCCGGCGGGCCGATCGGTGTGCCGAGCCGCTGTCACTGCCGATGCCCGTCCACTGTGGGAGCCCAATTGCCGGGTATTAACGGACGGCAGGCTCGGTGCCGCGCTCGCCCGGAGCCGGGGAATGCCCAGGTGTCGTCCGTCACCCAGCGCCGAAACGGGTGAGAGCCGATACAGCGCCGGTGAGAACAGATACAGCGCCGGTGAGATACAGATACCGGGCCGGTGAGAGCCGATACAGCGACGGTGAGAGCCGATATAGCGCCGGTAAGAACAGATACAGCGCCGGTGAGAACAGATACAGCGCCGGTGAGAGCCGATACAGCGACGGTGAGATACAGATGCCGGGCCGGTGAGAGCACATAGACGATACCGGGCCGGTGAGAGCAGATGCAATGCTGGCCTCAGCAGATGCCGAGTTTATGTGAGCGGATGCCGAGTGCATATTTCGAGTTAATGTGACCAGATGCCGAGTTAATGTGACCAGATGTCGAGCCGCGCGTTCCGTTGGATAAAATGTGCATCCTGTTCGGGAATCAACCGCATAACTGGCGGACTAAAGGAACCGCCCATGGCGCCAGTTGTTCAAACAGCATGCAAACATTCTTAGACTGTTCTGGTGCACAGAGGCTTCCGCTTTCTAAACATTAAAAAATGGCATCAGTCCGCGCATGATTGGGGGAAGGGGCAGAAATGGACGAGAAAACTTGTGTCCAATTGCCAAAACATGGTTAAAAAAAAACACGTGAGCATTTTTTCCGTGATCGATTCCGTGATCGATCTCAAATTTGGCATGTCAAGGGACGACCTTAATCTCTATAGACTTTTTTCAAAATTTTGAAACATTGACTTTCAGAGGACATTATATCTTAAACATTTCTCTGGTGGTCAAAGTTCAGAATTTATTCAGTTTTGTAACTCTGCTAATTCTACTTCGTTGTGCTAGACATTTTTCTGTACTTTCAATAGGTACTGTAGGCGTGATAGCTCTTTCGCAAAACTTTTTTGGGTTGAAAGTGGAAGAACATGACGTCATTCTGAGGTCATTTGGAGCCAACCTACCATAGCTTCTACTTTCTAGGAAAACGTTTGACCACAACGTGTATAGTTTTGAAAGCCATAGGGGTCATGAAAGTTTCGTGACTATATCTGCAACGCTTTAGGTGATATCGACAGAAAAAGAGGGGGCCGTTTCGCCCCCTTCCCCAGCTGGCTAACTCGCGTTTGACTTTCGTACGCTTATTTTAAGATTGCAAGATCGGATTGCAATTACAACACACAATGCCCTAAATGCCCGCGGCGGGTGCATCAGGTGACTCAGAGGCGCCGCCCACCGGGAGCCGATGGGGTTGTATTAGCGCGACCTTGATCCCATGTCGCTGGGCACACTGGAAGCGGCCTCCCGCCCGACCCCGCACTGGGAGCGGCCTGCCGCCCCACCCGGCCCGTGGGCGGCCGCCGACGACACGTGCGCACACCATGCGCCACGTGACGTGGGACACGTGCCGCTCGCCAGCACGGTTAAATCGGGCCTCATGTTTCAGGTATTTTTAGCCGCGTGTCCGAGTGTCACCGCCTGGCCGGCACCGGCGCTGACAGCCGGCCCCGCCCCACTGCACCCCTAGTGACCCCGCCCCCACCCTGCCGCGGTCACCCCGCCAGGCTCCGCCCCTCCCGAGGCCCCGCCCCCGAGATCGCAGCAGAGCTGAGCCTCCCCGCCGCAGCTCTGTAAGCTGGGCAGTAAGAACTCTAAAGGATCGGTGAGGCAAAGGTTGACCGAAATATGTAGTCTGTAGAGATGTGTATCAAATAGCCTTGAAATATGCCGTTGAAAGACATGATACAAGACAAGTGAAACATGAAATGCACAAGTCCGTAGGGTAAACGATGTTTGAAATGTTGTTGTCTGTTAAAGCCCTGTTTAAAAATAAAACAACTTAGCCGTGAAACCATGCAATCAATTTTACGAGTTCACTTTTGGGAAACAACTGGCCCATCCAAGAAAAGCCTAAACATAATTGTTGGAGACAAACACCTTTCATGTCAAAAGTCATGGAAATTGGAACATGCAAATAAAAACAGGAAACAGCCCACTATACTTGTAATGCAGGATACAGAGATGGAGATTCTAATGAGGATTTCAAGCATCAATCAGGGATAGAATGGATAAACACCTTAAGCGGACGAATGACCAAGACGTTTTATCACGCTTCTATTGATGAAGTGGTGGACATTGGACCGTTCGCCCACGCCTGAAAATAACGACGGTCATAAGAAAATGCATAGTAGGTAGGAAGTAAAGTAATGTGTACTCACCACGACCAGCAGATCTCCTGAGAACCGTTCCGTTTCTATGTACCACGTGACCGGCATGACAGCCTTCAGCAGCTGAAACACAGCATAACGTGACTTAAGCAAACACGTCACGTGATCCCACACGGTGAACGAGTGACAACAAACAACGAACGAGTTAACGACAAGGTGCCAGTGAACGAGAGACTTTGAGAAAACAGGAGACTCTGAGCGAGTCTAGCGCAGCCAGACGATCGATCTTGAGTCGATCCATTTTAGAGAAAACTGCGAAAGCTGCAGCCCGATGCGCTGGGCACTTAGGTAGGTACTTAGATATATTTTAGCTGCTAATGGCAAAAATGCATGCTTTGTTATGCAAGGATAAAGCTCAGATATCAAATAAAGCAAGGTAACGCACAGGTAGGGCGAATGTTCCGATTAGTGACCACTTAAAATTGAAGCTCCATGTGGCACGGAGTAGGTATACTGTTCGTTTGTACTGCGAAAGTTTTTTATTATTATTGTTTGAACATTTTTCTACACACATTTACGTAGGCACTCTTAGCTTTCACGTACCCTTACCAATAACGTCAGAAATGAGATCTCGCCGCCCCTTGCAAAAACCTAAATAGGGAAGTTGTTCGCTTTTTGCAACCTATGTTGTTACGAGCGAGCAAGCGCAGCGAGCGAAGTGAGTCTTTTCAATATAACGGAAAAATCTCAGCATGAGCGGCCCGGCCCGGCCCGGCCCGGCCCGGCCCGGCCCGGCCCGGCCTGTAACGCTTTTGAGAGGCTTATATCTCAGCAACCGCTGGACCGATTGGCCTGCGGGCTTTTTTGTTGGGTAGCCCCATCCCTTCTACCCCGTAATTGACTACTTTTGATACATCTCAGTGACCGTCGTGGCACGTGCCACGTGAAAAGTCAAGGGTGTTCAAGCTGTTTTGCAAAAGTAGTGATTTTGAGAGGCTCATATCTCAGCAGCCGCTTGGGCGATTGACTTGCGGTAATTTTTGTAGGGTAGCAGTAGGTATCCCTTCTACCCAAAATAGCATACTCTCGATGCATGTGGGTCACCCCCAGTGCACGTGCAAAATACAACAATAAGAGGTGCCAAATTTGTTCCCATTTCAGTAACTCGGTAATTACTGGGGCGATTTCGCTAAAACTTGGCATACAGGTAGGCACCCACCAGGCAATGCATTCCCATGTGTTGCGGTGAGGGTGCTACTGCACGTGCGCACGTGCAGGGGGCGTTTCCAGATCTCGAGAACGGCTGGGCCGATTGCGCTCAAATTTGGTACACGGTTGGGGACCAGTTAGTAGGGTGCCGTGCAAAAGTCATTTTGGACCCCGTTTGCACGTGCGCACGTGCAGAATGCCGCTTCCAGATCTCAGGAACGGCTGGGCCGACTGCGTTCAAATTTGGCACACCGCTAGCGACCGGTTAGAAGGGTGCTTTGCACAAGCCCGTTGGAAGCACCCTCTCGCCCTTCCGCACGTGCAGGGCTCACTATCTCGCTCGCTCGTTCTTCGCCCAAAAGGCGTTTTACTGGTTTATAGGTTGAATGAGGCATTGGTTCAATGATTCCCTTCCGGCATTTATTTGGAATTAATATGTATGAGATAAGAAAGTTTTCTAGGCACGGAATAACCTGAAGTGGCACAACAAGTTATTCCTTACCAGTTGCCTCCCACTCTTCATGTTACGAAGTGGGCATAAAAGTTGCAGTCAATCAGTTGCTAAGCTGATGCGTTTAAATGGTGCCTATTGCAGGCACGGCTAACCGAGAACTTCAATAAAATTAAAAAGTTCCTTAATGATAATTATCTCAATTTATGTACTTCACATAAATATTTACCGACATATGTTCCAGTTGATGATTTGCCTGGTGCTCACGTAACCACCGACAAAAAAGCGAGCATAAGCGGTACCTACAATGCTTACAAAGTGGTGAATAAATATCTGCTTACATTGATCCAACATGGTCTAAACTTTTATATTTGAACAATAATGTTTTTTCATCAACGCCTTCCTCATTCAGAGACGTTGTGCCGGTATAAAACAACAGAATCTGCTTTTGGTAATTCATTTTCCTGATTTCTCTTTTTTTTTTGCTCTTTTTGCGCCAAACGGCCAGCATCGGTCAGTATGCTATCTTACCAGACTATAGGTAGGCACTCCACAGCACTTAACTCTCCACAGGATAACACTTTTCTAATGACCCTGAGAATGATGACGGTGTGACTTGAGGCGGCGCGAACGCATTAGCCTATTACTGATCAGCATAAGCACGAGCTTGATTCGCGAATGGACAGGGTTACATCAGCCAGCACACTATTCTTAATCGTATATGGGCGATGCGCCGTCCAGGTTTGCCCCAAAGTTCAAGGGTGCCGCCCCAAAGCGCCGATGCCGGGCGCAGAAGCGCTCCATTTCGTCAGGTGGCCATTCACATATCCGGTCAGGTGGGAGCTCTGACGTCAGATGGCGTGTGATGACGTCACTCAGAGGCTCCAAGTCCAGCGCTGTCCAGCCGGCGCGTCGTTTGTGTTTATTCACATCGCTAGCTTCCGTCGGTGGGCCGTCAGCAGCGGATAGAAAAATAAACCGCCGTTCTAAATCGCCGTGGCATCCACGACAAATGCACCACGGGGATGTTGTGTTGACACAAGCGAGTTAAGAGCCAATCGGAACTAAGTCTTTGAATTCCACGATCGTCAAAATAGCAACTTCGCATTTTGTTTGGAAGAGACAACGAGGTAGCACACGAAATCAAACAATCGGCCATATAGTTTATACTTTAATGCAGCACTTGCGCCAAGTAAGGACAGTAGATTGCAATGCCAGCCAGGCACGATGTAAGGGGCTGTATGTACCGTGTGACAGGCGACAGCCGCTTCTATACAGATGTCACCCTTTTACTTGAACACACGCGGGATGCAGAAATGAATAGGGATATTCTACATACTTTAATGTCACAATTAATTCTGGTACCAGCGGATTTCAGATGGACGGCTGTTAGCAATATTAACACGCGCACCGACGGGGGGGGCGGATATCCGCCCCTCCTGAGGTTTTTCACGAATAGCGGGAAAACCGCGGCGCGTAGCGCCGCAAAATTTGGTACGACTATTCTCTCATCAATTTTACACATGGTGTGCAAGTTTGAACCTCCTATCTTTTAAGGTCAGGTCACCAGTTCACTTTGAATGACCCAACCTCAAGTCACTTTTTTGCAACTTTGTCACCGTGCCAGAGCTACAGTAGGGGAAGTTGGGGGAACGCCGAAGACTTTTTTTCTGACGCCCGTAGCACGCAAGGTAGACAACATAAGCTATTCTTGTTGGCGTCATTCGAGAGGCCAGTCTTTTGCCTTTCAAACATACCAGGCGCATTTGATGAATTCGCATACCGTTAAGCGCACAAACTAAAAATATCAAAGAAGTGACTTTTTCGGCGTTGCCCCGGACTGCGGGGAAAGCCGAAAATGGGATAAATGATCTACGGGGAATGCCGACATTGATGTTTTGCCATTTTATCTCAAACTTTATCCAGAATTGATCAAAGCTGACACGCGTTTTAAGAGCTTGAGGACGCGGTGCACACTGGAAGTTATAATTGTGTGATATAATAAGAACATGCCAGGTAAATCATTCCTTATAGGTAACAGACCGTTGTGTCGGTTGAAAGTGTAGGGGAAAGTGGGTGTATTGCGCCCTCCTAACCAATTGCGCCCACCAACATTCCCACGGATTCAATGGCATGTTTTGAATTTTGTGTTCGAAAACATTATTTTCCCCACTGGATAGTTCCTTTTGTGGCCCAAGCTCCCCGATGAAGCCAATCAGCGAGGCTCATTACGCCATCAAAGATGTTACGGCGTTTTCTTAGCTTTTTTTGCAGTGTTTTGAGCCGTTGGCTATAAAAATGTGTGATATTTGTGTGATTTTCAGAGTGATATTTAGAAAGAAAAACCCTTTTTTCATTATATTTCACTAAAACAGTTAATTTCCTTCAACATCTTTATGATAACTTCCACGCTTTTATTAAAAAGTACCTCAATTTGAATTGCGCCCATGGCAATTGCGCCAGGGGGGCGCAAATAGAATAATGGTGTAGCTATTGTATATCACGACAGCATGAATGCATCATTAACTGATTGCAATAAAGAAGGAGTTTAAGGTCAGGCAGGGGAGCAGCCCGCTGTCGTCAGTCCGCAAATTATTTCTCTCGTCAAACTTATAATGCAGCTGCCATTTAGGCTACGAACTTGTGTAATTGACAAAATACGACATTTTCAACATGGACTCAGGCGTGAGAGGTGACAGCTATGATAAAAAAGTAAAAACTGATGTCATAAAACTGTCGAAATAATGAAAATTATTAATTTTGAGAGAAACGATTGGAAATATAACCGTATAGGCGCATACGTTCACATATATCTAGTCGGTTACAGTAAACGTTTTCGTTGCACTTTTACAAGCGTACGAACACATGTAAAGTTATCTACCTGGGCAAAAAAACATCGCGATTTACACCTAAATTTACTATTTAACCAGCGTGAATAACATTATGAATGTTAAAGTAAGCCGCAATGACATTAGACTGCGGGGGTGTATGCATTCCGTCTCATTCGCTTAGCCATGTTAAAGTATAGGGCGCAATTGGGTTCGAATTGCGCCATCCCCCTGGCGCAATTTACAGCAGTTGTTGGCAAATGCGCCCTTTTACATGTTTCTGAAAAAGCAGCTGTCAGAAGCAAACGAAACATTCTTAATTGATCGGGAGGCTCTTAAATCGTAGCCAATGAGTTCCTCTTTGAAATGGTCACCGATGCATGCTTATATCTCCAGCGGTTTTCTTACAATTAGCGTTTTTCCTTAAGGTGGCGCAATTCACCCTCCTTCCCCTAATTTGTGTGACTAAAAATACGCGTTGCTATTCTACAGCAGTAAAGTCCACGTAGCGTGCTTTTAACACGTGCGTAATCGCACGTTTTCGGCATTACCCCAGCCTGCCATACTTTCATTTGCAGGCCCATAACTTTTCAACGTGCTGTATAAATTTCAAATAGGCAGCACACTTATGCAAAGACATGCTAAAGATTACTTGACCGAATTGGCCAGACAAACGGTAGCATAATGAGTAAGAAATGCAGCTTCAAAGGCGCATGTAGTACAAGGGAAACGTACCTTGAAAACGCTCTTGGCGCCCTCACAGTCGAAGTATTCCGAATGACGACTCGTAACAAACATGCGATAATTGTAGTCACTTTAGCTTCAGAGCATCACTGACAGGTGGCATCCATGTCTTACGGTTTTCGAAATATCTCGAATTTCGGCTTTGCCCCAACTCCGGCATTGCCCCAACTTCCCCTAGATGTCCGAGGCCTTTGAAAGTCACAGGATATTATAAGATCATTAGTAGCTACAATTTGTATATCTCGGAATTTTGATATCGGTGACCTAGGGTCAGGTCAATTTCTCGACCTCCCCATTATAAGTCAATGGGGGAAAAATCAACTCCCTGTTTTTACCACTAAAACGGGTCGGAATGGCCCCATAAACTATACATGACCTCTTATACGATCAATCTTCACTGTCTTGAGGTCTGTTTTGCTGTTGGGCAGCTGCAAGGTCACGTGACGTCATCAAAGGTCACCAGCGGTTTTTTGACAATAACTCCGTACAGGAACAAGATACAGCCGCGCGGATGGTCTCATTGTGTTCAGCTCGTCAAGGCGCATCGAATGATATGCATGATGACCTCGAGGTCACGTGACCTGAGGTCAACCTTTGACCTTGACCTTTCGAGGTCAACATATATATCATTCGATGCGGATTGACGAGAGGATCACGATGCTGCCCTTAGTTTGTTCCTATATTGACTAGTTCGAAAGTTATTCGAGAAAAACTCTCCATACCTAGCGCCGCCATTTTGACTTTTTTGACCCCTGTGACGTCATCTTTGACCTGACCTGAAAATGACCTTAGTAAAAATTGTAGACCTTGTCCGTGCGTATCCCTTGCCGTTTACCGCTTGTCGCTATCTTGCTTCGTTCTCGAGATCTCAGGGGGGGGGCGGTCATCCGCCCCCCCCCCCCCGTCGGTACGAAGTTGGCGAAGTCGGTGCGCGGGTTAAAATACGGATGATAATTGGAGAGAAAAAAATCGTTACCGTTGGGTGACGATTTTTGTGACTTATATATTTATGCCTATGACCATCAATATGATTTAAATTCGAGGTAACTGTATATCCGAAGATTTGGCCCGCATGATTTTTGTTTGCGGCCTTGCGTTTCTTGCTCACATCCGGGCATGAGCGCTCGTTGACTCAGCCCCCCGCTGCTGTTGCTGGAATGCCACATCCCCATGGATACCTACATCTTCAGCGGCGCGACCGGGGCCGCCTTTGACCTGCCGTCGCCGAGTGGCATCAAACGCCGGCCGGACGGGCCAAGAGGCGGGGGCGGCGCGGCCAATGCGGCGCACTCGCCCGGGCCGCCGGCCGTCCTGCGCCATCAACTATTTGTGACCGTGAGTCAGCCCCGGGGTCTGTTTTAGCACCGACCGGGAGCCGGTGCCGCCGAGTCCATTGTGGCCCATCCAGAAATACCCGGCCGTTCGCATCCCCCGCATTCCGGGCGTCGCAGAGAAATAGTTTGGCAGGCGCACCGGCTGCCACCGTGCAATAAATCAGTTCGCCCGGCCTGATACCGTCGGATAAATAATATGCGGGGTTTAGCTCAGCTGGAACTGCCACTTTATTAAGCCGAGTCCAGCGTCATCGTCCAGCACAAAATTATACACCAGCTCTGACGTCATGGGATATTCTCATCAGGCTTATGACATAAAGAACTTGGGAAATGTCCGCCGTGATACTTGAGAATTAGATGCCGCTGCTAAGCAACCTAAAACATGTTGCTCCCTTATATGCAATCCGGTACGTACATTGAATTGGAATATGTATCATGTTATTTTCTGGAAATGAATGAGTAGGTAAACGAGCGTCCATGCAGTAGGTGCCTATCGAAGTAGGAAACATGTAAAGGTGATACCTGCGTTTTCTTCAAAGCCGTTTGAAAAGATGTACGGAACATATTAAAGCAACCAGCTGCCTCCATTTCAAAAAGTCAAAGGCCAGATTCATTCACGCTCGCACACTTTAAATCCCAAAAGCAAAAGAAGAATGGCTAAGTTGAGTTCTTTCATTTCTGACACAGGTCGCAAAGAGACGCGTTTTCAATTACAAAGGTTCATTGCGTAGCCGAAATAATCAACAGTCCAGTAAAACCCGTCGTAACCATCCACGGGCTAACTGCTGGGTCCTAGCCGTGCCACCGGCGGAGAAGGCTTCAGGACGGCGGCAGAGCGTCGTCCCACCGATGCCATGGTGAGTCACGGACGTCACCATTGGTGACGTCCGTGCCGCTGGACCACGGCGCTCACCGCCCTCTCCCCTCTCGCTCTCTGCACCCGTGTGCGGGCGGGCGGCCGCACACAGGGCCGATCGCCAGGTCTAGCACGACATGGGCAAAAAAATCGAACTTTGTGGATGTGCAATGAAACCTATACCAATTTGTTCAAAAATGATCATACTACACTGCTGTGGTCTTTGTTTTCCAACACAATTGCTATTTCATGGCGAAAACTCAGCTTAAACACGAACTTCGGAATCGTTTGGACAGAACTCGTCCCCCGCACTCTTCGACAACGTATCTTTGATCCACGAAAACAATCACAATTTGAGGAGGAATTCCACATTTATATACATCAAACGATAGCTCCGGGTCTGCAGAACACACATAACCACATCAAAATGGCGAACTCTTACTTGGTTATGATGTATTGGCACCGCAAAGATTTAAAGACGAAAATATAATTTCACATAATTGATGTCACACACAAATAGACTTTTAAAAAAAGTACCGCAGAGTACCGCTTCGAAAATCTCGCTACATGTCAATGATTCATTGCACTACAAGATCCAACAGTCATTTTTTGCGACTTTTTGCGACTTTGGATGTAGCAGCCAAACATCAACCCGCGCCGGACCGGTGCTCGGCGTCAAACGCGCCGGGCCGGGAGGTGTTGATTGAACACTCCCCTTCTAACTCCTCTCTTGGGCCACATTGCGACACGTAGTAAGTGGCATTCGAAAGAGCGCCCGAAATTCCAGATGGAGTAATTAGTCATTTCTAGGTCAGGTCAAAGGTCACGTCACCAGAGGTCATCAAAGGTAAAATGTTGCATTTATCAACATTTATCGAAAACCGGCTCTTACCTCGGGGACCAATAGAGCTACATCGTCGCGGAAAAGTGCATTCAATTGCTCTTTTAGCGGTCTTTCTGAAATAAGCCCTCAGATTTGGCTCCCTCGCTCTCCTAACCCTCGCTCCTAGTGGTGTTTTTCCAGCCGCGAACGTATAGAAGGGGTCCGTTGGACCCCCCGCTGTTTCGCTCCTGATCGAGCTAGAGCTTCGCGGAAAAGACCAGCGTGTTGCCCGTGACAAGAGGAAGCTGATGATACCCAATTGTAAGGTCCTAGGTCATTGGTTGACCTTCCAGGTCAGGTCAATGACCCAAAAGTCGGGAAAATCGGGACCTGTTAGAAGTTAGAACGTCGTAAAGGGTGGCTGCTATGGGTTTTTTGGGTGCTGATCACGAATATAATATTATTTACGATCATAGATGATGTCTTCATACATTTAGGCCAGGTCGGGTCAGGTCAGGTCAGGTCAACTAGTAAGGGTTTTGCCGGGTATTTGCAGTAGGTGGCAACCACCTCTGACAGCTTTGTAACATGTTACGAAGGCACCAAAGCTGCATAGTAAATGTTCAAATGGTTGCTAGTTAGATTCGAATTCAGCTAAAAAAACTAGCCTAGAAACATGTAAAACTCGAAAAAGTGAACCAAGGTCATCAAAGGTCAATGACCTTACCTGACCTTCTGGTGATCTTGACACCCACCCTAATGCATGGGAGCAACATAATATCCCATGTTTGAAAGCTTTAAACCAAGAAAAGACTGCAAACCCGCGGCTAATGCGAGCCGACATACGCTGAATCGCGATTCCGGCCAAACATGGTCTCGAAAGAAGGTCACAGGTCAAAGATCATTAAGGTCAGGGAATTGAAATTTTCAGGTTAGCTGTAAAAGTAGTTATCGCGAGGGTACTGAAAGTTTCGTTGCGATCGGCCGCTTTTTACGCGAATTACTCGCGAAAAACCAAGGGTTCCGTTCGAAGATTCAGGCCCTGTCGCGCTAGAATGGCATATCGGCCCACTGTGGGCCGGTCGGCTCTGGGGCGGCTCTGGGGCGGCTCTGTCGTCCACGCAGCGGCGCGGCGGCACGACCTGGGCCGGGCCGAGCGACGGTCACCGGCCGCGCTGCTGGCACCGAGCCAGGTGACTGCCGCCGCCCGCGCCACCGGCATCCCGGCCGCCGAGATGACGCGCATAGAAACGTGTCGCGCCCGGCGACGGCCATGTTTTAAATTGATATTTAGCTTTAATGACGGCGCTAACTCACGGTGCCTGACTATGTCAACTCTGCCAAGGACCTTGGAGTTATTTTCATTGCCGGACGGTGGCTATTTTAGGAGGGGACCGCAGGCCCCACCTTTCTCCTCCATATTGCAACACGACAGGAGAAAATACGCACGATTTCTTCACCGTCTCAAAGTGGGCTAACAGCGGCCAATCAAGATAGCTCTCCTGGGCTGCATGCCTGCCACGTTGCATTTTTAGATCGTTTGGTTTCAGTGACCCCTCTCCCTTGATAAGCCATATTTTCAATTGAAGCCCTGGGTTTACTTACCAGCGTGATGTTGGCTGAAATCTTCTGCCTGAAACACAAATAAAACTTTGTTAGCCGCTGAAACCGTTCGTCAGAAGTCAGCTATGACCTTCCTCGCTGCTACTTCAGAGGCCCCCCAAATCGTGGCGTATTTGCACGGCATAACGGACCGATCTCAAACAATCAGATGACCGTTGCGGGCGCGAGGAGCGTATATAGGGAGATCACCGGCGTTACATCAGAAGACGGGCTACCTCCGCCCACGCGCGCCGCCACCGGTATCGGCAGGGCTGCGGACTCCTGAGGGTTCAGGGCCACTGCGGAGTGCGGGCACAGTCGATGGACCGAGTAAACGGTTGGAGGAGAGGCTCCCACGGTACACCGGCGTCCTCCCGACACAGACCCTGACCGTCGGGGCACTACGCAGTGACCATGCAGGCTCTGCCACCGTCTTGGGCGGTGTGTATTGCATACGCATTGATAGTTGGGCTATAATGAAACATTATTAGCGTAATGAGGAACCTACCTGTGATGCGGATACCGGTAGCAATAATTAATGGCGTGTTCTTTCGTCATCCCGCCGTGGTAATATGGCCCCACCGCACACCGCAGTGCGGTCTCTAACACGGTACCGCAGCCTTCGCGGCATGTCGCGCACGGCGGCATGGGACATTCCTCGGCTTCGGTGCACAATGGCCTACCCGTCCGAGAGATCAGCGGCGCCTCAGCTGCATTCGAAACAAGCAGCCGTGACAGCCGCCCAGAGCGCCGGATGCGCAGTTCAGGCAGCGGCTAAAGACACTGGTCTGGGGCCTCAGAGATTCCTCAGAGATAAATATCATTTAAAATAATAATAACAAAATCCATGAATATCTACAGGGTGATCGAAAAAAAGTGTCACCCCTAATTTAAAAGCCATATAACTCGCGATTGGTTGGTCGTACGACTTTGCGCCAGGCAGCATTGGAAAGAGCATACAATTTCCTTTCGAATGGATGTAAATATGCACGGTTTATGCCGCAAACGAAGATGTAGCTATTCAAAAAGTATGTTAAGGACACAATTTGGTGTGTTCAAAAGTTTGGTTGTGCAAATTTGTACTTTTGACAGAGTTTTTGATCTGACAGCTCACGTGACAGCTCACGTGAGCATTTTTCTTAACCCGCGCCCTGGTGGGGTCTGTTTATAACGCGACCTGGTGGGGGGGGGGCTATTTTTTGCCCCCCCCCCTCGTATCTCCGAAACTACTTAACGGATCCGAAAAATTCAAACGGCGTTCGAAAGGCCTGTCAAATTTGTCGAGGGAAACCAAATTTTATTGACCTCGGGGTCACCGATGACGTCACAGGTCAGGTCAAAGATGAAATGTTTCACCGTTCACGGGTCTTCTAGGGAATGCGCTATAACACCGAGGAAAACGCATTTTGTCGGGAATCAGCGATCGGGCGTCAGTTGCCTAGTAGATATGTTGCTGTTAGAGGTCACTGGTCATACCAGGTCAGGTCACAGGTCAGGTCACCAAAGGTCACCAAGGGTCACCACATGAACCCAACTTTACTAAGGTTATGCGATGCATGTTTTATGGCCAGTTTTTCATTTCCAACTCAATGGTGTTTGTTATAAGACCATCAGGTACGGTTTAGGTCACTTTCTGGTGGAGGTCAGGTCAAGGTCAGGTCAAAAAAGGTCAAATTTCAAAGTTGATATTTTTGCATAAAATGGGTATTGATTCGATGCAGCTCGTCACGGGGAGTCTAATGGTGGTCTTTGTTTTGCGCTACGAGGTCTAGAATTGCTGAAAATTGAGTTTGAAAATTTGACGTCATCAATTTTGAACAGTTTTTTCGCTATAACTTGGCCAAAAAAGAGGTATCAATCTCAAATTTGGTATGTAGATAGAAGGCGGTAAGGACTATCACATATATTCCGTTTTTTTTTTTCGAAATTCAAAAAACTTTTTGGATTTTTTGGCTATTATATTCAAAAAATCTATTTGTTGATTTTTTGGGGTCAAAATCCAAAAATTTCAAAAATCCAAGATAGCAGTTTTGTAGCCCTTTCCATTCTACAGCTTTTATGTGTGTATCATTTTTCTGTATTTGCAAAGCTATAGGCCTGACAGCTCTTCCCGCGAAACCCTTTTTTGGGTCGAAAACGGCAGAACATGACGTCACTCTGACGTCATTTCCGGCCAACCAATCATAGCCTTTGGAAAAATTTTTGGTCACAATGTGTAAAATTGATGTCCGGGAGGGTACTGAAAGTTTGGTGACGATCGGCGCAGTGGTTCTGGAGATATATCGAAAAGTCTGGAGGGGGGGCAAAAAATAGCCCCCCCCACCAGGTCGCGGGTTAACTGTTCCATGGTTACCGCTGCATAAAATTGATAATCCGGTAGTGCAGGCTGTCGCAATGTTTCGCTAGTTACCGGCGAATTTGTGAATAATGAGGCCGCATGTTTGCAAGGAAGATCTGATAAGGTCTTCCTTGTCTAAGGTCAGCTGAGAAACGAGTCTAAAGTCAGCTGAGAAACAGTCTGCAGTGAACAACATACACTCCATGTGTAATGTGTAAGGTGTGTGTCATGTTGAGTTACGATACTCATTGTTCTCGTTCAGCGGTGTCCGATCCCGTTCGGTGAATTTCGTTTCACGTGAAAGCCGCACATTGACTGGTTTTTGAGCCCATGGGGACATGATTTGGAATAGAAAACAATCATGAATACATTCAATTGAAAAGAAATTGCCTGCTCTTTCCGATGCTGCCTGGCGCGAAGTCATCCGACCTACCAGTCGCGAGTTATGTAGATTTTAAGTTAGGGGTGACACTTTTTTTCGATCACCCTGTACAACCTGGATAGTTGAAAAATGCCATCATTCAGGATATATCAAGGCCACGAACATGCCGATAGGTTTTAAGCAAACTTGTTTGAGATGTTTTTTGAATGGCGAGGTGAAACTCACGTGCTGTTGACGGGCGCCAGCTGGATAGTGACGTCACTGTCACCGAAACTGCGCCCCTGCTCGGCCACCTCAATGACGTACACGTCTCTGTGGACAGTCAGAGGTCACCAGAGGTCACCGGGGGTCACCGAGGGTCACCGGAGGTCACCGGAGGTCACCGGGGATCACCAGAGGTCATCAGAAGTCACCGGAGGTCACCAGAGGTCACCGGAGGTCACTGAGGGTCACCGGAGGTCATCAGAGGTGGTCACAGCTCAGCTGCAGCGGAATGTCGGCATGATGTTGCTTTGTAGCGTAATTTAATAGGAAAAAATATTATACCGAGGCCGAGGGAGCCTTCGATTATCTATCCCAGACCTAAATCAGCTCAGGTAAGCGAAGAATATCCCTGAGAAACGTACGAGCTTGATGTTGTTGCAAATGCACATACAAATTGATGCCTACGTTTAGTTCGCGGTAATGTATAGTATAGCGAGGTTCGTTGACACTCAACAGTTACACCCATAGCGTGTCGTCTATAAGCCAGCCTATAACTATAAGCTGGATCACATGATGCTTTTCGTGTAAACAAAAACTTTACATCCTGAATGTTCGGCATTAACCCGCACGAACAAACCAAGGGATTATTTTCCAAGCCTGGTAAGCACTGAGCAGCTAAATGTGTTCAAAAGCATAGTTTCACGTTCGCCACTCCGGGATGCCAGTAAACCCATCGATAAGGTCCATGGGGCCAAAATATCATGTAAGTACCATTTCTGGTGGAAGCTCTAATGCGGCACGGGCTAGTCAACCATGCCATTTACATTTATGTATTTACTTGGAAAAAATATATGTAATCAAAGGCGCCTTTGTATGTTGCACAGCGGTCTAAATCCGCGCCGGGCGTGGGTGTGTAAACATGGCTCCCGGGCCACGAAACGACACGTAGTAAGCGACCTCGAAAGAGCGTCAAAAATGGTGAAGGAAGAACGTAAGTCAGTTTTTGGTCAGGCCAAGGGGGTAAGGTCACCAGAGGCCATCAAAGTTCTGTGCTGTCCCTGCCAATGTCCTAGGGGTTGCGCTGGGGTCAATGCTGCTCCCCAGTGCCTCGGCGGCGGGCTATCCCCGTCACTAACTAGACCGCAGCGTGGAGCTCCTGTCCGGTCCCTCAGTCTATGATGGGCTGTCCCTGTCCTATACGAGTAGTCCTAGGAGTGGCGTCGGGGTAACTGCTGCTTCCCGTCCCTCAGAAGCTGGGTGCTCCTGTTACCGGGCGGACCGCCGCCCCGTCTCTCAGAAGCTGGCTGCTCCTGCCACCAGGCAGACCACTGTGCTGGGGGCTGCTCCCCGTCTCTCAGAAGTTGGCTGCTCCTGTCACCAGGCAGACCGCTGTGCCGCGCTGGTTGGTGGCTGGTGGCTGATGGCGCCGATCTGTTCCCCACGGCCGGCGGGCCCGCCGCAGGACTCGGTTCACGGCTCACGCTGACCGCCTCCACGCCGCCCGTTCAGCAGAATTCAACCGGGGCGCTGTTGGTGCAGGCTGCACCGCCGCCCGGCGCGCACGCCAGGCCGTCCCCGGGGCTCGGGGACGAGTGGCGGACGGTGATTCGTGCCCACTGAACGGTGGAGGGGAGGCAGACAGTGCCCGGGCCCGCACGGAGCTCCAATCACCGTCATATAAACGACCTCTGCCAGAAGGTCAATGCCGCTCACATACAAGGCTGGTCAGAGCGACGATGCGGTGTGAATCAAAGGAGAGGAGCTGCAGCAACTGGAAACGAAAATACTATGATTGAAGCCAATCGAAATGTTTGGCGAAGGACGGTGCACAAAGAAACGAGTATTTGCATCGTGAACAAGCGCAGCCTAATGATCAATGAGGACCGAATTTGCTCAATAGGTGGGAAGGCTGAACTCCGTGCAGCAACAGAAGGGCCTCGTGTTTACCATGGTCGCTGACTTCAGTCGGAAGGGTGCTCGCGAAATTTTAACGTATAGAAGGGACTGACTTTGTTTCCACGTCACGATTTACCATACAAAAGGCTGCTGCTGTTTTTCCTGGTAATATGTGTAGCTCACTCATAAAACTTATTTGTGAATAGCAGTTTCATTTCATTCGCCGTATTACTATTCAAGCAATCGAGCACAGTAAGCATGCCGAAAGAAACGAGAATATGTACAGATTTCATTTCCCACAGTGAGATTTCGCATGGGCACAGGTCTTGTAGGCTGTCATCGCTAGCTGGCCTAGTAATGTTTTATGAGCCGTCGCTCAACATTGAAGCATCATCAGTAGCGCGGGATATGCGTCATATTGCCGCTCTGCCATCAATCACTAACAGTGAGTGAGCTCACCCAGGCATGGGCTTAACGGTCAGCTGATGGCGTAACGAACTCAACTGCGCAGTGGAACACTCCCTGATTTGAATGACATCACTGACTTCAGAAAGCGTCAATTTCTATAGCCAATTGGTGATAAACTGCAAGTGGTGCGGCCTCAGCAGCATGAAGTCCCGATTAAAGTAAATGCAATACTTTTAGCATGGGGTTTTGAACTGGAATAGCAGTTTTGTATCTTGAGCTAAAACAAGCACAATTCTAAAGCTTTTACACCCTAGCCAAAGATATATCGACTTTAGTTCCGAAACCGGTCCCTTATGGAGGAATGCAGTGCCTTACAAAAGAGTGCAAAGAATGCAGCCACATCTGGCAGAGGCTAATCGCCAGCCAATTGACATGCAGTTGGTTTTGAACTATACGCAATATGCTTGGTCAACGCGGAGTAGGCTTCCGCGCTGCATACACTATTTAGCCTTTACCAAAGGGAAAATAGTTTTTCTTCCTCATGAAAATATTTTCTAAAAACGTTTCAGTAAATACTAAATATAATTATTTTCATCACTGATCATGCATATAAAATCATACAACGTCGCAAGAAAAAACTAATTTGAGGAAAGTGCTAAGCAATATTAATTCATTTCATGCAATCATGCATTCATCATGCAAATTAATTCATTATATTTTCCCTAAGCATTACCTATACAGTATGCATTTCAGGTCGGCTAGGTAGGTACACGAAATCAAATGCTGAGGCGTATAATCATTTCACTCAGAATGAGCATGACTTGAATATTACTGGCACTTTTGGCAGAGTCGACTGAGAGGATGTCAGTCGACGGCTCATCGTTCATCGGCGCTTAACTGATGGGCGTCTTGCTGGTCAGCTGAGTGTAGTAACTGTCCCTATAGCAACATTGCGAATCGCGGTTTTCTCATATTTAACTGGTTTGTTGCGACGTTTACCATTAAATGATCGATATATTGCTCTTATTTCACAAGTGTGTTACTGATTTCTTCAATGGATCAGGATAAAAGCTGCTCTGATAGACCTCTTTATTTACATAGACGGAGGCATATTTTTGCGCAACCGAGTTGGGAATAATCGGTAGATGGACTGACCTTGACAACAGGTGGCCGAAGGGGAACTGACCTGGACCCCGGGTGATGGTTAGCGGAATAAAATTGACCCCTAGGTTGCAGTCAGGGAGCTGACCTTGACCTCTAGGTGGTGGTAAGGGACTGACCTTGACCTTCAGGTGACGGTAACAGGACTGACATTGACCTCCAGGCATTGGTTAGGGGCTGACTTTGACTCCAGGTAGCGATAGGGATACTGACCTTGACTCGAGTCCGGCCAGGTGGCGGTAGGGGACCGACATTGACCCCCAGGTGGCGGTTAGAGATACTGACCTTGACCCGAGTCCGGCCAGGTGGCGGTGGTAGCAGCCGTCCAGGCTGACTGGCTGCCGCAGGTAGGCGGACAGACCGGGACTCGGTCGGAGGTGGTCTGGGTCGCACTGCTCCGGCCACTCGGGGTCTGCCGACAGACAGACACCGGTCTCAGGCCACGGGGCAAACGATACACATCAGAGGTCAGTAGTTCGATGGCCAGGTCTCAGCTATTGCAACTGACACATCCTCGTTTGGCGCTAACAATCATAGGTCGCCTGTCACAGCCACGGAAAACAAATAGCACATAGCTCTGGCTTTCTAACACAGAAAAACCGCAATCATCAATCATAGCCCCATGAGGCAGGTCCCGGTCAAGGCGTACAGATGACAGGCTGTAATTGGCAATGGCTTAAACTGCAGGTCACACTTCAAAGGCCAGAGCAAAGTTCACGTTTCTCACCAACTAATAACATGTCAGGAGCTGATATTACAAACTGACTGGATTTCTAGGAACTGAAAATAAATAACCCCCGATTTGACAGGCCATATTTGTTGCATCTTGTATTGCACCAAACTGGCCCGTAAGGTGCCTGTAAAACGGCGTCGCTCAGGGCTCGCCCCCCCCCCTCGCAGGCTGTATGCCGGCAGCGTGGATGATGTGTTAATCGGCCGGTCCAATGAAGTGAAATATCTCCTGCGGTGCACGGTGACCGCAAACTCTCACCGAGGTGTGACCACAAGACGTCCCGTGCGAGACATTCAGCGGCCACCCGGAGACCTGCCGGGCGGCGGACCACCCTGCGGCCGGTCGGGCCGCCGACCGACGACCGCCGACCGCCGACCGACGACCGCCGACCGACGACCGTCGCGCCGGGTCGTGCGACGCGTGCCGCGGCCGGCGCTCGGAGGCCGCCGGGTGTGGGCGAGATACGAGCCGCTCGCGCTGCAGAGCCGGACCGGACCGGCCCGTTAGCCCCGCCGCCGCCGGCCGGACGGCAGCTCGCATGCCGCCGCGCCGTTCTGACGGCAGTTAAACGCTTCACCGGCGCCTGCGGGCCGCGCGGCCGCTTTGACAGTGCCGACGGCCCAGTCCGGAGAGCCCGGGGAGCTGGGACATCTGCAACAGCTCCGAACTGGCGGGCCCCTCAGCTGAGGGTCACCGGCGGCCCTCGCGACAGACCGAGACAGCGCGGTCACCCGACAGAGGGTCACACACCGGACGGCGCGGCGGTGAGCTCGACCGGACGGACCACTCTGCAGACCAGAGTGTAATGAGCTGGCTGCGGGAGGCGCAGGAATGCAGTCAGGTATGCGGCTCTCCGAGCGGCAGCAGCCAGCAGAGCCTAAGGCGCGGGCTCAACTGTTCAGGGGGATGCTGTGGTAAGGTCTAAACTACCCCGAGTTGGTCATCACACATGAACTGAAATAAATTGTATATGTGGGTTAAGTGTCTCATTGACCTGGCGGAACATGGCAGTCCCTTGGGCCCAGTAGCTTGGTTGCATCATAATTCATAACTGCTTGGCTCGTCTTCTTCAGTCAATCCCCACGACGCGACGGGCGCAACTTATTGGTAGGTACAGTATTTTATCAGCTGTAAGTGATATAAGAACAAAAACGCACAGCTCGATCCGCCCTAGCTTTCAAGTGCGTCTTTCATGGAAGCAGTTGAAGCCGGCGCCGGTTGCTGCAGGGTTTCATGGCAGTTGAGCGCTGGTTTTAGCCGCGTTCAAAGTCACCTTTGTGAAGCCGCAGTGGCGCCGATCTCCCAGAAGCCGACACATGTCGCCTGATCTGTTACCGCGCCCCGGCCGGTGAGCTTCGCCGACCTGCCCAACTAATCCCCCAAAGTGGGCTGATGTGGGATATTTCTGCCGCGCCTCAAGGCCAGCTGGCGTCAGGTGTGAGGCGGTTCTGCGGTGTCGCATGCACCAGAAACACCGACTCACCACCGCCGGGTACCCAGAAAACCTGAGGAGGGGGCGGCCAGTCCTTTACATCGTCCTGGAGCGGCCTAAAGCTGTCCCAGAGCCGACAGATCACTGGGCTTTGAGTAGTCTTCGGCTGTGTTTGTGGGCCTTTATCTCTCGGATGTTCTCAAAAGTCATGGTGTTACCTGGAAACATCGACAAGCTGGCGCTTCTTTGTTGTGTCCTGCTAGCGGCTGAGCCAGAATGCTACAAATGAACAAATTACAGTCACGAATTACTATCGCATCGTTTTCATACGTGAGAAACAACTATCAACCCTCACCATCTCAGCCAAGTCGCCATCCCTTCTTGGACACCAACAAGGCTGTGGCGCTGCTTTGTCTATCGAAACACAATCTTCTCCGCACCACCCGCACCACCTACGCTGTGAAGTCCAGCGCGGCAGCGCCGCACCAGCCTGCCGCGCGGTCGCAGCGGCGCGCCGGTATAGTCGCGGGCCCGTTGGCCGCTCGGGATCCGTGACTGGGGGTCGTTACTAACCGGCCGCCAGTGGCCAGCCTAATTCGAATGCACTCCACGTAACTTAACTGGTAACTAGAGTGGCAGTCATCGCTGCTGTGTGGCCGGACGAAATGACCGACCGACGACTATGCGGACTGGTGAGCGGACTGGCGAAAGGATGGATTGACATGGACTTTGGACAATGGACATACCCTACTGGACTGGCAGGTGGACTGAAGAACGAGTTGGCTGACAGGCTTCTGAAGACTGAAGACGGCGGACTGGTTGATGAATGAGCCTGCTCACCGTTTTTCCGCTCACCAATCAAGCTGCTCATTTGTTTCCAATGATCTATTCCCATGGTCGTGATCGGGGGCTAAAGCCTAAAGGTAACCACAAACTGGCCCGTTACGACGTCCGATACCCACTGCCTGGCCCGTTACGAAGCTCAATACTGCTGTCTGCAATTGGTGCCTCGACCCACGGCTGTCAAATCAGGTGGAGCCAGTCATACACCACGCAACCATGAACGTTCATCAGGCAGGAAGCGCAAGGTGAAAAGCGAGCGCGTCAAACAACAGAATGCAGCACTCCCGGAGTTGGCAGTTGACGTGGTACTTTTAGATGTCATCATGGGAGTCCCATTGGCGTATCCAACCTAGTCTCTCCCACCTTAATAACAATTTCCACCACGGTTTGCGTGCAAGAAGCCGCTGTCACTGACTGGCTAAATAAGCAAGCTGACACACACCGAACTGTAGCTGTTCAACAAAGACTGTTGCGCGCAACTCTCAGATCTTCTTGTCACGAGGTAAGCGCGGCTTTGTCGCAATGAGGCGAGTGCTGCCCCTGGAGCGCGAAGCTCTTTCCCTGGCTTTCTGAGTCTTATTCAAAAGGATGTCATGCTCTCCGTGCAGCATAAGTGCATAGTCGCCGTCCCGACCAGCAGAGTACCCCCTGCCGGCGGAGTGCCTCAGTCCCTGGCCAAGCAATGGAGCGCAGCACGGCGCGAGGTCAGCCGCCGACCGGCCGTGTGCACTGTGCGCGTATACCGCCTCCGGGCGCGGCACACCGCCTGCCCGGCCGGCCGGCCGGCGGCCCACTTCAAGGCCAGGAGGCCGGCGGCCGAGCGGCACACACGGCCCGATCGATCGGCGGCCGTGGCGGGCCGGCGACCGACCGGTGGCCCGGCACCTCGCCGCCGCGGAGCCGGCGGCCACCGCAGCAGTGTTTACCCAACTTCAGAGGCGCCGCGCGCCGCCGGCAGCCGCGGACGCGCACCGCCACCCGCTCAGCTCAGGTGCTCGTCCAGGACGTGCGCGTGACTGGACTGGCGCCGGTCACCCCGGAGTTGACGGTCACCGTTCTTGGAACCGGACGCTGCGTGGCCGGGTCTGCGGCGCCCGAGGCCGGGCTGGGGGCGTGACTCGAGTCTCGCTGTGTGACACAGTCACCTCGTCCCGCCGCGGTCGGCAGTGGAGAGTCTGCAAAGTGCTCTACGCATGACTCGGAGCTGGGGTCATGGCTAGGCTGATGTCCTTGTCCGATCACAACAGGAATGCCTTGTCCCTTATAGTTATTCGCGTTAGTTCACCGACAACGAGACTGTTGCACTTAACGTTCGGGTCTGCTTTCCATGAGGTTATTGGGGTGGCACCGATACAAAAGATGTTGTAGCTCCTGGGTGAGCCAGCAGTGACACTCCCTGGTCGCCCGTCCTCCAAACACACCGGCGGCATCTCACCGACACGGGAGGCTGATAAATCGCCTCCATCACATCATCTCAGACGCACGTTCGCAGTCACGCACGGATAAAAGGCCTTCTAAAAGGAGCCTCGATCTGAGCTGTGCGTTTTATTGACCCGTAGCGCGGCGCTGGGTGAAGGTTCGACTTCCACCGCGGGGCGTGGAGGCGATCCTCCCTTCGCTCTTTGACCTGGTCGTGATGAAGTCGTCACAGCCCCAGGTTCAGCGGACCGGGAGGCTGACGGGAGGGGAGCGGTGGAAGAGTTGTGACGCATGACTGAATTGTCATTAACCGCACCTGCCGCTAGAAGAAGCCAGATGCCGCACTGGGAACCCTAACTCGGTGGAGTTGGGCAACACAAACCTGACACCGAATATCAGCCGGACACCGAAAATCGCCAGTTCGACAAACCTGACACCGAATATCTCCCGTTACGCCGAATGACGCACTGGGCCTGTTCCAGCGCCTGTTCTGGGCCTGTTCCAGCGCCTCCAGAAACCTCCAGAAAGCTCCAGAAAGCTCTAGAATCCTCCAGAGAGCGTTCCAGCGCCTCCAGAAAGCTCCAGAAAGCTCTCGCCAAAGCTCCAGAAACCTCCAGTAGCCTCCAGAGAGTTGGGAGGTCCAAATTTCTCTGGAGCCTCTGGTCTACAATTATGGCGCACATGTGACAATCACGAATGTAAACAAAGGACTTTTGACTGATTATTTTACAACTTAAACGTAAAGAAAATTACATTGCTATAATTTTGTTAATCTTTCTTAATAAAATTGAAAACAAATCTTGCGTTTGAAGATAGAACAATCGTCATTCTTTTGGTATGTGTGATGCCAATCTCCAAAAATCTCCAGATTGCGTTCCAGCGCCTCCAGTGAAAACTCTGGTAGAGCCTCCAGTCAAGAATTTCTACTGGAGGCGCTGGAACAGGCCCAGTGCGTCATTCGGCGTAACGGGAGATATTCGGTGTCAGGTTTGTCGAACTGGCGATTTTCGGTGTCCGGCTGATATTCGGTGTCAGACTGTGTTGTCGGCCGAGCGTTGATGACGTCACGGTGACGTCAGCCACTCGCTGGTGCAGCTGTGCGAGTTGATTGCTCGTTGCCGACGGTCGGCCGGCGACACTAAGCCGCCGCTGACGTCGGTTCATTCGTGGACTCCGCTCACCTAATGGGCGACACTCGAGCAAAGTGGAGGGAAGTTGGTGAAATCCCAAAAGATCCGCGAAAGTTCCTCCGCGCCGCTGGAAGATTGAGATGTAGCCGCGCTGCACTGGTGGAAAGGTCAGGACTTCACAAGCAGTTGCTAACGAGCTGCTCAAGACTGCCGTTCAGTTCGGTCAAACAACATCTCAAAGGCGCACAGTAATTAGTTTTCCTTCAGCCGTCGTATTGCCAGCAGTGCCTGTTCATAATAGCGGCCTCAACGGGCTCGCATTCAGCGGGCTAAAAGGTCGCCTGAGTTGCTGGTTTCTCTGTTGCGTGCTGTCCCAGCTCCTTAGCTGCGGCACATAAAAACAACTGCTATCACCCAGGTGACATCACCGGCTTTAGGGGCATCCTGAGGACGGGATCAGCCGAATTATTCCCGATTAGGCCCGGCGGGACAGGCCGTCGAGCGCGACTTACGGAGATTCCGACAGAGTGCTTTGTAGCCTGATATCCCACATAAACAGCCGTCACACACCAGTAACGTGTCGTCTAACCGGCCTTCAAGGCGGAACTAGCAACAAGGATTGAGTGTCAGCTCTCGGGAGATCAGCGCCGAGTGTAGAGCGAATTCGAGTGGAATTCCCAGGTTTGTTGTAGCAAAGCACCAGATTGCCAGATGAAAATACATCAATGACAAGCACTGCGATGCATAGTTCCTGGAATGCTTAGTCGTCCGGATAGCTCACCACCTGGCTGTGCGGCATATCCCTTATCCTGTTCATTTCCATAATACTGGCGTACAATAACAGGGATTTACTTAAGCGCCCACCGATGCATCGTCTTCAAGGAAAAATTTACGGTTAGACCGGCCGAAGGCTTATGACGAATCCGAATGGATTCGAAGAATCTTTGAAATATCAGATATAATTCTCGGCAGACTTGTACTTCTTTAGTTGAGCCGTTCTTATTACTGGATCTAACTATGCCGTATAACCGCCAGCAGCTGATTATTAATTATGTCGCTATCCACCGATCTACCGTGACAAATGTCAGACCAGCATTCGTAGAGACCACTAAAGCTGCAGCGAAAATTAACGATACGACATAACGTAACGATATACCAGCTATCGATAAGTTCGGCTGAGTCTGCCAAATCCAGTTCTGAAGGTTAGGTCAACACCTTCGGACCAAGTTCAGATTTGGTTAGCAGCCGATCTACTGCCTTCAGTTGGACCGCGCACCGCGCTGCAGGTTCCTTTGATAATGGCATTTTAAGGTCGTGATAGTAGCGGAATATGCAATATGCCTCAGTGCTGCCTGCATTGGTCCATGAGAATACATTAGGGATAATGAAATGGTACTCGAAAAACCGGTAATGAGTAATCGCCAGCATTGATAAATGAGACAAAAATGAGTATAATTTTCCTTAAGACGGAAATGACAATTAGTATTTGCAAGAAGCAGGCATTAACAATGTGTCGGTACGCCACGACTGAGCGTGAAACGATACGGGAAAACTGAAGATCCGCCATTTATTTGTTTGGTGGCTTATCCAGTCGTATTGCATCAAAATTACGAATTGGCTGCATCTACTCACACATGTGCAAAGGAAACTAGGCAAGCAATGCCTGCCAGCTATCGGCGAAACGAATGTCTCGAAAACGTGGGCAACTTGTGATAATAATGTCCGTTGAGTTTTCATCCTTCGATAGCACATCAACAAGCGTTACATTTCAAGAAAACAGGTCAAGTTAAATCAGGTAAGAACCTCTTTCCGAGTATGCCTACCATATTCCAGCACCGACTGGGACATTGGACAACTAAATATTCCGCGCTCCTAATTCCGCGCTCTCTTCTTTTCCTTATTTTCAGTTTTGTTTTATTTCTCTTCTTCCCTTCTTCCCACATCAATATATCTTCACAATGTATGACAGAGCTTATCCGTCGTTATGTCCCACTGGCATTGCCCATCTGCCTCCTTCATCAGCACACCCCGCGCACCCCGATCCCCTCTCCGTCTGTACTCACCGGTGCCGAGTGTGAGGTCCACCAGGTCGGCCACGGTGACGTCCGTGAAGGAGGTGACGCAGCCGAACTGGTCCACGATGTGCTGCAGTAGCTCCGAGCGGTCCCGCTCCGGTTCGGGGGTGACCGGCACCGCGCCCAGCTCCGCAGCGTCCACCTCAGAGCCGGCGCTCACCTGCGGAAAATCAGTGTCGTAACGTGCAGTCACGGGACTCAATCCTCGGCGGCAATTTATCGGTGATCGAGGGGTCCTGAATGAGTCAACTAAGGAATACAAGACGGGTAGGATTTGGGATTTCTTTTTGCTATGAATGTGCAAATGTGTACAGAACGTGACATGAAAATTATGTGCGTGAACTTTCATCAGTTGCCTGATGTTCGAGCTGGCATTACCAGTTTGTGTGCTGTGCCTGCCGCAGCCAGACTGCAGCAGTGTCGGTGATTGTCCTTCGAAATGCTCTGCCACCGCGGTGGGTGGACATCCCGGTTCGGTAAGTCCGTGGACCTCAGGAGAGCGCCCTGTCCAAGTGTCCATGCAGTGCCAGTTTCGGCCATACTAAGCTGCCAGCTTAGCAGGTATTACCGGTGCCCATTCCGGCTCATCGAGCTCCCACGACACACCGTGACAATGCCATCGGCGGCCTTGGGTAGCCGCGAGTGACACTGACACATGGCGTGTCAGGGCTGACACCGACGGCGGCCGGCGCCATCTGGCGTGTCAGAGCGGCGTGTCATCGTGTGTCGGAGGATGACACAGGCGTGTGTCGCAGAATGACACAGGCGTGTGCCGGGGATGACACAGGCGTGTGTCGGGGGATGACACGGCCGATAATGGAGCGGGTGGACGGATCACACGGCTGCCGTCCCAGATGGCGCGGCACCGTTACCAACCAACGCCGCTCTCCGGGCAGTGTGAGCTAGCTCAGCCCACTCAGCAACTGCACCTTCAAAGACAAACGCCAGCGTAATCCCATTAAAACGCTGGCAGATGTACTTAGATATTTCAAAGCAGCGGTTTCAAAACACAATGAAACGGCATTACCTCTCCATCTCTTCTAAAACTGGAATACTTTCAAGATCAGACGCACAGATTTTCTTCAAAACAATGGCTCACAAAAATTATGACAATTTAATTTGCTAAGCACATCAAAGTGCTCTCAAAATAAGATAGAGACAGGTCCTTTGAAACATATACCTAAGACAATTATTTAGGAAACTTTAACCCTCGCACGACCAGGCCATTTCTCATAACACGAACGACCAGGGGGGGTTGTTAAGACCCCCCCTGGCGTTTCGAAACGGAAGGTCGTAGAGCTTAGCGGAAAAAACCAACGGATTGCTCTCAACGAGATCTCGCGATTGGTGGTATATGTTTTGGTCCTAGGTCAACATTTGACCTACTTATGACCGGTCAAAGGTCAAATTTTCCGAAAAAAATCAAACTTTTTCAACTTTCCGCGGCGATTGCGGCAAACCGGTGGGAGATATCGACTTGAAACCTTCACTATCGTGTTCTTTGATCAATTCTCTATCGTTTGGTATGTATTTCGTTTCCCTAGCTCTAAAAAAGGCGCGTTGGGAGCGCCGGAAGTCGGCAAGGTCACAGTCGGCGGCAGAAATTCGAAAAATCAAAATTTAAATTTTTGAAATCTGATTGTATTTTTGGATTTGAGAGGTCCATTTGCTCCCTATAGAAGCTAATATTGCTGCATATTCCCATTGAGGTGACAAGAATTAGCAAAATAGTGGTTCGGGCGCTTTTCAAAAATAGTACCGGACGCTGTTCCTCTTGTGACGTCATAGCTCCGTGACCTGACCTGACCCGGTCAATTTTCTTGCACCACACGATAGCCAATGCTTGCCCCAACATGCATGGGAAGTTTCATCATGATCCATCAAACAATGTGGGTATCACCGGCAGAAAACCTAGGGATTCGGCGCACACGTTTGGTAACTGTCGGCCGGAGGCTGTACCTCTTATGACGTCATAACTCCGTGACCTTACATGACCCGATCAGTTTTTTTCGGCAAAAGATGCGCAAAGGTTGCCCCAGAGGGTATTCAAAATTTCAGCCCGCTACGACAAGCCGTTTAGCGTGCACTTCGAAAAAACCTCAGGGGGGGTTGATACAGCCCCCGTTCACGAGCTTCAGAATTCCTTTACCGTGACGTCATCACGGCGCATGAATTTTCCAGGTGTTGTCCATCTGAACTGCACAGTCACGTGACCCATTTGACCTTCGGATCCAATTCTGGTAGTCAATTCTGGCGCTTTTGTTACCATAGCGAAAAATGTAACCCCGTGTTCACAGTTTTCCTAACGACGAAGATTCTGCGTAATCTGGCCAATAGCGTTCGAGAACCGCGGCCAAGCCCCGCTGATCTTGAACGTGATTGGTCGGACGACGTATAGAATCTTCGTCGTCCGGGAGACTGCGAACACAGGGTAAACCAAGGGGTAAACGGTAAACAATCTGTGCGTGGAATGGGGATTGGGGAGTGGGGAGTGGTGAATGTTATGGGCGATGATAGGCCGATTCGTCGATTTTTATTTATACTATTATCCTTATTATATATTTTGATCATTTTGTTTATGTTCAGAAGTTTTTTTCTGTTGATTTTACATCAAAAATGGTATGTTTTACTGTTTAGCTAAGTATCATATGATATTGATATTGGGTTACAATGGCCTGTTGTGCATAATATTATTGGTAATGTGAACATAGGTACTCCATACACTGCTTCTTTTGGGTATATATTAATGTTTGACCTGATTTTACTTCATTTCACCTTATATTTTCTTGCAGGAACAGTTATCACACCATTATTGCGCCAAAAATAAGGGTGGTGTTTCGCGGCACTCTGCCAGCCATTTTTGGCTTACATAAAGACTTCAACAAGCCTATACCTCTAACACTGCTGGAGGTTGACGCTAGCTCACGGAATGCGCTGGCAGCAGCTGGCAGCGCGCCCGTGAAACACAGTCAGGGGTTTCCTCTGTAACGTCATTGTTGTCTAGGTAGATGGGTCTTTATCAATTGTTAACAGCTACAAAAATTGGAATGAAAAATGTTGAGGCATTATGAGCATCAGATAAACAGGAAAGAGAATTTGACTACAGCCCATCTTGCAACGCCTCAATGAAATTTAACGAGAAACTTAAATTAAGGGAGCAGCTACATAACTGAGGTAAAGCCCATAAATCCTTGTGTATTTTGTAGTTGCCGCTGTGCGGAGGCGCGTCCGGTGCACGGCGCGCGTGCGAGTTATCGCGTGCGGCTGGGATTTGTTTGTAGAAAATGTATGAGGGGGCAGTCGGCGAGAGTGAGAGGGGAAGGGAGCGGCGCGTGGCGGCCGCCGAGCGTTGTTTTCGCAAAGTCGGTTTATTTTCTGTGCGAGTTTAAATACAAGCTATTTCGGCATTATGGCGACGAACGTGACAGTGTCATTGGACCAGGCTCCGGTGATGGCAAGTGCAGTGGCGCCGACAATCGTCCCGCGACCGGTGACAGCGCCGGTGCCGGTCGGTGATGGTGGTGTGCCAGACTCGGCACCCGTCTCACAGCCTGTGGTCGCGGTACCGTCGGCACCTTTTGATGCGCGGCTGATACCGGAGTTTGACGGGACCGAAGATGTGGTCAGCTGGCTGGCGCGTGCTGAGATGCTGTGCCAGCTGAGGGGAGTGGCCGCCGAGACTGTGATTCCTCTGCGCCTCGCTGGCGGTGCTTTCCACGTATGGTCCCAGCTGCCGGCGGCCAGTCGCTGCTCGCTGACGGCCGTGAGAGACGCCCTCCAGGCGGCGTTTGCTCTCGATGAGTACGCCGCCTATGAAGCGTTTGCCGCTCGGCGACTGATGCCAGGAGAGTCGGCGGACGTATTCCTCGCTGACCTCCGCCGGCTGGCGGCGCTGTTCGGAGGAGTGCCGGAGCGAGCGCTGGCCTGCGCATTCGTGGCAGGCCTGCCGGACAGCGTCCGGCAGATGATCCGCGCTGGCTGCCGGGCAGATGGCCTGGACCTGTCGTCGGTGCTGGCGCGCGCTCGCGCTGTACTGACCGACGAGCGGCTCTCCGCAGCAGCAGCAGCGGCGCGTCGGACTGTGCCGCCGCCGGCTAGCCACCCACCTGCGGCGCCTGGACCCGGCCAGCCGCCGGGGCCGACGCGTGGACGGCCTCCGCGCGGTCCGCGTCCGCTGAGATGCTGGACATGTGGAGAGCCCGGCCATATTGCTGCGAGATGTCCGCGTCGGTCGGAAAACGGAGCCGGAGGGGACGGGTCAGCACCGCCGTTCTCTCCTGCGCGACAGTGAGCGGTGCGCTGCCGATTACACGCCTGCACGTGGACGGAAGAGAGTGCACGGTCCTGATCGACACCGGGAGCACCGACACCATTATCTACGCGCCGTTCTGTGCGCAGTGGAGGCGACGGGTGGTGCGTGTCACCACGATCAGCGGCGATGACCTGAAATGCAGCGGCATTGGCAGTGTAACGGTCGAGGCGCCGACGGGCCATCGTGCCGCGCCTGAAACGCTGGTGGTGGAGGAGCGGCCGCTCGGCGTGGATATGGTGCTCGGGGTCAGCGGTATCTCGGCTCTCGGGGGCGTGACGGTGCTGTCCCCCTCTGTGGTGCGGTTCTGTGGAGCAGTGTGTCGTGCGCCGCCAGACATTGAGACGCCGGACTTCCGGGTGCAGTTCAACGCGGCTGACCGGAAGTGGTCGGTTGCATGGAAATGGTCCGATGGGATAGGACCCCAGTGCCTCACGAACGCTGTGCCGCAGTATGCTGTGCCGCCCGCCGCTCGCCACGAGTTCGAGGCGGAACTTGACGACTGGATAGAGCGGGAGTGGCTCGTGCCGTATGACGAGCGGCGGCAGGGGCCGCCGAAAGGGTTGGTGCCGCTAATGGCTGTGGAGCAGCGCAATCGGGGGAAAGTTCGACCGGTGCTGGACTACCGAGAACTGAATGACTTTGTGCAGGCTCACACAGCTGACAGCGACGTGTGCGCGGAACAGCTCCGCAAGTGGCGCCAGCACGGCGCAAATGTGGCGGTCGTGGACCTGAAGCGTGCCTACCTCCAGCTGCACCTGGAGGAGCGACTCTGGCCGTTTCAGACGGTGATGGTGCGGGGGCAGCGATTCTGTTTGACCCGCCTAGGTTTTGGTTTGAATATCGCGCCC